CCAGACTCAGCACCCCCAGACTCAGCACCCGCAGGCTCCGCACCCCCAGGCTCAGCACCCCCAGACTCCGCAACCCCAGGCTCCGCACCCCCAGGCTCCGCACCCCCAGGCTCAGCACCCCTAGCAGGACGAGAGTCGACAGCTACCTCGACAGGCTCAACTGGGTCTACCTGGGACACACCTGAGGGAGCGGCACCCTGAGGGGGAAGGGGGTCTACCACAGCAGCACCTGGCGCGAGGAAGAGAGGCGGGGGGGGGAGCGGGGCAGTGCGGTAGGGGAAGAGGCGGTAGTAGGGCACCGACTCGTCAAAAGTGACGTCCTGAGAGGGCAGGACACGGCGCGAGGTGGCGTGGTAAAACTGCCAACCAGACGCGTCCGGGACAAAGCCAAGGAAGACACAAGGAACAGCGCGGGAGGAGAGCTTGTCCGCGGACATATCGCGAACAAAAGCTCGAGATCCCCAGACCCGAAAACGCGACGCATCGCCAACCTCGCCCGTCCAACGCAGTGTCGGTGAAGTCTCCGGCAAGGAGACACGGGGCCAGAGGTTGAGCTGATGCGCAGCGTATCGGACCGCAAACGGCCACAGAAAGTGGGGGGCAGCCGCATGGATCAAGGAGGTATGAGCGACCTCCATGACCAAGCCAATGCGGCGCTCAGCAACCCCATTCTGCTGTGGAGAGGCCGGGAGCGTGAACGACTGGCGGATGCCGTGCTCCGCACAGTAGGCTGCCAAGAGGTCGGAGGAGAACTCACCACCTCTGTCAGAGTGCAGACGCAGGACAGGAAAGTCCGAGTGGAAACGCTCGCTGAGCTGGAGACGAGAAGCGCGGATCCAAGGGATCAAAACATCAGGGACCTCACCCTTGGTGCGCAAGGGGAAGACCGTGGTGTAGCGCGAGTAGTCGTCAACAACGATCAGGAAGTACCTCTCCTGACCCTGGCCACGGACGCGGGCTGGGCCCCACACGTCCATGTGGAGCGTCTGCAAGGGAGCAGTCGTCGGGGGAAACGAGGAGGAGTGTGGAGCGGCGCGCTGCCGCCCCTCGACACAGGGAAGACAGGGAGGAGCAGGCGAGGGTGGGAGGGGAGGGAGAACCCTGGGAAGACCAGAGACAAGGTACCGTTTGTGCATGGCACGAAGGCGCTGCACGGACGGGTGACCAAGGCGGTGGTGCCAGAGGACGGTCTCGTGCGCCAGAGAGCGACACGAGCAGGGGGCCGACAGCTGACCTGACGCAGACGCAGACGCAGCTACCTGAGGGGACTCAGTGGTCAGTGTGTACAGGTCCGACCCCGGCTGCCGAGTGAAGGTAGCCAGGTGGCGACCCGTCCGAGCGCACGTGCAGTGTGTCACGCGCTCGTAGGCAGGGGTGAACTGGTGGACACCCCCGTCCTGGAGCGCACTACCAGCCACCAAGTTCGTAGAGAACGAGGGGAGGTAGAGACCTGACAGTGTGCCCGACGGGACCGCAGGACAAGGGAGGACAGTGGAGGAGGTCGCAATGACCGGACCCCCAGAGGGGTCAGCGAGGGAGACTGCAACTGGCCGAGCAAGCTGCTCAAGGGCAGTGCGGTCACGAAAGAAACAGCGGGAAGCACCTGAGTCCAGTGTGAAGGTGTGCAGTGCCTCAGTAGACGCAGTACCAGAGGGCGCAGACTCACGAGCACCTAGAGCAGCAGCCTCACCAGCACCTGGGGCAGCAGACACACTAGCACCTAGAGCGGCAGCCTCACCAGTACCTAGAGCAGCAGACTGGATACCGGGGTCAGGCGGCACACACAGGTGACAGGCACCCGCAGCACTAGTAGACAATGCATACATGGCAGTTAGGATAGCATCATACTCAGAAGCAAAGATATCTACCCTCTGCCTAAGTAGCTCCACCCAGTCGGGGAGCTCAGCGTCGTCGCCAAACTCTGTACGCCAAGCGTCGCTCAGACGGGCGAAGCAGTGGGACTCTGTGTGACCACGCGTCCCGCAAGGCTGGCCAGTCCGGGCACCCGTGCTAATAACGTACGGGCAGCGAGCAGTACTCAGTGACCCTCTACTCTGAGCGTACCACTCACGAAGCTGCTGGGGCGAAAGAGGCTCGCGCGGACGACACTGGTGCTGCACCGGTCCACTACAAGAAGCTCCCAAACTACCCACTCCAGGACGACTCCCACTACGGCCACCCCGACAACCCCAACTGGCGTACCACTCACGAAGCTGCTGAGGCGAAAGAGTTTCGCGCGGACGACGCTGCTGCTGCACCGGGCCACTACAAGAAGCTCCCCAACTACCGACTCCAGGACGACTCCCACTACGGCCACCCCGACAACCCCAACTGGCGTACCACGTACGAAGCTGCTGGGGCGTGAGGGACACACTCGGACGGCCCTGGAGCTGCATCTGGCCACGTCAGGAGCAGCAGTAGCAGCAGTAGCAGCAGTAACAGCAGTAGCAGCAGGAGCAGTAAAAGCAGTAGCAGCAGTAGCAGCGGTAGCAGTGCGGGCAGGGCAGTGCTCACCAGTGGTAGGAAGGGCAGGCGCAAGACGGCGGCGACAGCGGGGCCGCTACAGCTGTAGGGCGGGGTCGAGCCGCTGCAGGGAGCTCCGCGGTAGCTGCTGCAGGGCGGGGCCGGGCCGCGACTGCAGCTGATCCAGGGGCCAGGGGCGGCTCCTGCAGTGGCGGCTGCTCGAGGTGGCCAGGGGCGGCTGCTGCAGGGGCGGCTGCTCCAGGGTCCAGGGGCGGCTGCTGCAGTGGCGGCTGCTCGAGGGGCCAGGGGCGGCTGCTGCAGGGGCGGTTGCTCCAGGGTCTTGGGGCGGTTGTAGGTGCGGCTGCTCCAGGGGCCAGGGGCGGCTGCTGCAGTGGCGGCTGCTCCAGAGGCCAGGGGCGGCCGTCCCAAGGGCGATCGCGGGGTAGGGCAGGGCGCCGCGGCGAGCAGGGGCTCCGCGCGGGTCCCAGTGGCGACGCGCGCAGGTCGCGCGTGGGCGTCGCGACGAGGCAGGGGCGACGCGCGCGAGTCCCGGTGGTGACGCGCGTGTCGCGCGGGGGCGTCGCGACGAGGCAGGGGGACGCGTCGCGGGTCCCGCAGAAGTGCCGCGACGAGGCGGGGGGGCGATGCGCGGGTCCCGCAGGGTCGTCGCGACGAGGTAGGGGCGACGCGCGGGTCCCGCAGGGGGCGTCGCGAAGAGGCAGGGGCGACGCGCGGGACCCGTAGGGGCGTCGCGACGAGACAGGGGCGACGCCGGGGTCCCGCAGAGGCGCCGCGACGAGCAGGGCGACGCGGCACGGGGTCCAGGGGCCGCGAAACCCTAAACCAGGGGCGGCTGCGCGGGTGCAGAGCAGGCCCGCGCGCGGCCTGCAGGGCAGGGCGGTAAGGTGGCTCTCGAGGGGCGTACGACGGCGCGAGAGTAGGCAGGCGCTCAAGGGCGCGAGTAGGGGCGTACGACGGCGCGAGAAGGGGCGCTCGACGGCGCTAGGAAGGGCGCTCGACGGCGCTAGAAGGGGCGCACGACGGCGCTAGTAAGGGCGCTCGACGGCGCAGGTAGGGGCGCACGACGGCGCGAGGTACTATCAGACACGGTCGCGCAAGGGCGCGGCGGAACGGTGGGCCCTAACCAACGTCGGTCCTAGGTCTTGACCTAGGCGTCGGATACCATGTTAGAATGTAGAACTGAACGAGAATGTGTGAAACTAGGCAGCAGGGAGATACAAGTAGGAAACCCTAGCAATGTTGTACCCCCTAAGGCTAAACCCACTATAGCCTACACAATGTAAACATGTATGATGTTTGACAGACTCGCCCTGCATCCGAGCCCGATAAGATTTTGAGCCATCGGATTCGAGACCCTATAGGCAACAAGTGGATCGAGTTCCTCGATCGCTAGAAGACCCGTACGCCAACTGAAGGTAGCTGGGTGCCCTTGGCCAACATTGAAAACCACCCTGCCCTGCAAGTGTACCTGAGGAGCCGGGGTTTTCGCGATATACACGCACCTGCGTAGCGGGGGGGGCTTCTTGAGAGGGAGGTGGGGGTAGTGTAAGGATTTTTCTCGACATTCCTTACCGCGACCATCAACTTCGCGTACAGCAGCAGCCGTTGTTTGCCCATTACTGCTAACGGGGCTTCGCCAACGTTGTGCGTACTGTTTCACCAAACCATGCACCGCTGGCCTACGCTTCGAGGCTAGCCCGAACCTCGATGTCAGCCTAACACTAGCTAGCTCGCACGCACCGCATAACGGTTGCATGTTTCGCACATAAGTATTCGCTTATGCCTTCGCTCATACTTTCTATCTTTTGACCACCTAGTGCAATCCTCGTTATCTAGTTCCATTGCACCCGTAACAGGAAGAGTGATCTCAAAATGAAGCTGGCTTGAACTGCCAGGCGCTTCGAATATAGAAACCTTTTTAGCGCGTACAAAGGGTGTCAGACTACTCTGGTTTGAGACGAGACTCTCTCTCGAGTGCGAGAAAACGGTTCGGCTCGGATCTGCTATGAACAAGCTCAAATTCGCCAATCCCTAGGTTCTGTCACTGTCGTTCTCTCTCCTCGTCCCTGTCCCAGCTACTCTGGGACCGAGAAGCTTGGACAAAGAAAACCACCACCTGCCATTCTGTATTCTAACGAGCTCCGTACACTCGACGTCAATCGTTGGCAGAGAAACTCTTTGATTCTGGTCGATCATTTTTTGCAAGCATCTTGAAGAGTATTTGTGATGACTTAGTCCCAATAGAGGCAGAGAAGTGTGCGTTTTCGGAAAACATCGCCGTTGCTACATTCCTTAGTCGATCAGAAACTCATTTTTCTTGTTATGTTAGTGCAAATACGTTGGTGTCATATCTGATGCATACGCTGCAAGCGTCCGCGTTATAACCACGCCAGGACCTGTGAATTCCGCCTCGAGTATTCGTGGATTCTGCGATCGTCCTTCCGCGCGTCGCAGGCAGCAGGCACCCGCGACAGTCGCTTCAGCGATAGTAGGGGTGTCGACAGAGCGGCGATAACATGGCGCTCTCTCTGCGACAGAAGCAGATAGGTAAGCGATTGCGGGGACGCGACGCGACATGTGTGCAGAACGGGTGAGAGGTAGCAGCAGAAGCTTCCTTCGGGCCCGTCGCTGTCTGGCAGATTATCGGCAGCGGGCGATTGGATTTCACTGACTTTCAAGCCTGCTAGATTATCGCTGGCACGCGATTGGAATTCCACCTTTCATTTCCGATTGAGGCAGGAAAGGGATGGAAGGGGTCCCGATCAGTGCCTTCTGTACCCCCTCCATCCCTTCCCTGATCGCGCGTCCTTTCACCCCGCTCACCAGTCCTCACTCTCCATCTCACCGTTCCTCACCCCTCTCCATCCCACTGTTCGCCCGTGCGCACCACCAGACGCCATCGTGCGCATGCTCAACCTCAACAGCCCCGTTACAGTCACGGTGGGCGGCGGGCTGGCGTCAGACGGCGACGTGTACAAGGTGCTGCTGCTCGATAAATACTCCCGCGACCTCATCTCGCCGCTCCTCAAGGTGAGACCTCATCTCGCCGCTCCTCAAGGTGAGACCTCCTCTCTCTCCTCGCGTGGAAGGTGAAATCAGGCGATGAAGGCGAGGCATCTCTGTCGTCAGACGGCGACGTGTGCAAGGTGCTGTCTGCTGGACAGATGCTTGAGAGACCTCATATCGCCGCTCCTCAGGACGAGGCTCGGTGCTCAAGGAAAGGCTCGGTGGTCAAGGAAAGGCTCGGTGCTCAAGGTGTGAAGCTTGTGTCTAGTATACTCAAGGTAGAATCGGGCGGCATGCCAGAGTCCGAATCTTTTCCTTCTCCCGTCCTCTAATCTCCAACCAGTTTCATTTCGCTGATCGCCAACCCATCCCCCACATGCCCTCCTCTTGCGCCGTCTTTTTCCCGCAACCGCGACAGCATCTGATCTGACTGGTGGACGCCAGTCGCTCAGCCTCATTTTGGACGTGCCCACAGCTCACCACTTCCTCCCCTGCCCCCCCTCCTCCACCCTCCTCTTTCCCTCCCCTACCCTCCTCCCTCTCCCCAACCCTCCTGTTTCTCCCCCCCACCCTGTTCCCCCTCCCCCACCCTCCTTTTTCCCTCCCTCACCCTCCTCTTTCCCCCTCTTCCCCTCTCCCCGCAGGTGTCCGACCTGCGCAAGCACGGCATCACTCTCCATCTCAAGGTGGAGGCAGACCGCCAGCCCATCCCGGACATGCCTCCCCTTCGGCCCCCATCCACCCACTTCCCCCTTCCTCCACCCCCCCTCTTCCCCTTCCCGCCGCGCCACCCCCCTTTACCCACCCGCAGGTGTCCGACCTGCGCAAGCACGGCATAACTCTCCATCTGATGGTAGACGCGGAGCGCCAGCCCATCCCGGACGTGCCGGCCGTGTACTTCCTGCAGCCCACGGCAGGCAACATGCAGCGCCTCGTGCTGGACGCCACGCGCGGCACGTACGACAAGATGCATCTCAACTTCACCTCCTCCGTTCCTCGCCTTCTCTTAGAAGACCTCGCAGCCGGGACCCTCAAGGCGAATGCCCTACACCGCGTGGCACGGGTGTTTGATCAGTATTTGGAGTTTGTTTGCCTTGATCACGGGTTGTTTTCGCTCGGGCAGCCCGAGAGTTACGTGCGGCTGAACGACCCGATGGCGAAGGACAAGGACGTGGAGGGGGCAGTGGAGAGTATCGTGAACGGGCTGTTCTGCGTGCTGGTGACGCTGGGAGTGGTGCCCGTGATTCGCTGTCCGGAGAGGGGGCCAGCAGAGATGGTGGCCAGGCAGCTGGATGCGAAGCTAAGGGCGCACCTCGCCACGCACAACAACCTTTTCAAGGAGGCAGCGGCAGGGGCGCTGGCAGCAGGAGCGGCGGCTGTGGCGTCAGGGGGAGGGGGGGGCGGGAGCGGGGGCAGGGGGAGGGGGTGCGCTGGGGCTGTTTCAGCGGCCGCTGCTGTTCATAGCGGATCGGAATTTCGAGCTGGCGGTGGGGGTGCAGCACGAGTGGACGTACCGACCCTTGGTGCATGATGTGCTGGGGATGAGGCTCAACCGAGTGAGCATTCACAAGGGAGGCGCGGCAGGGGGAGCCGGGGCAGGGAGCGGACCGCTGTCACCGGTGCTGAAGGGAGCTGGGGCGGGTGGTGGCGCCAAGGCGACCAGCTATGAGCTCGATGACTCGGATAGCTTCTGGGTGGCTCATTCGGAGTCTCCGTTTCCCAAGGCGGCTGAGGCGGTGAGTGTGATGGGGCAGGGTGAATAAGGGTTGAGGGCGGTTGAGTTTTGGAGAATAACTGGTGGGGATTATCCCATCCCTCATGTGCCTTCTTTCACCTCCCTTCGCTCCTCCATGTATCCTAGGTGGCCCTCTTGTGATCCCTCCTCTCAGTGCGTCAAGCATCACCCACACACGTCGCCCGCACTTTGTTAAAAGCAGGTGAGGATGAGGAGGGTATGATGGGGCGCGCTGTGCCTACCATGTTCCTCTCCCTCTTCGCCCACACTGTTATGCTTCCCCACACTCTTCTCCTTTCTCCCCGTTATCCCCATTTCTCCCTGTTCCCAGGTGGCTGCTGTTGAAATGAAAACAGGACAAGGAGCAAGTCAACCCAGCAGCTGTCTGTCCCTTTCCCCTCTCCATCCCCAACTTACCGTCATCCTCGCCGCTGCTCCCCACTTCACACATGCTGTTGAAGAAGTGGACACTCGACAAGGAGCAAATCAATGCAGCAGCTGTCCGCTTCCCCTCCCCCAATTCACGTTCAAGCAATCCCTTGCGTTGTATCCTTCTCTGTTCACAGGTGGACATGCTGCTGAAGAAGTGGACGCAGGACAAGGAGCAGGTGAACGCAGCCTCGCCCACAGGCGACGCGTTCTCAGAAGCCGAGGACGAGGACGTGATGGGGCGCACGAAGCAGCTGTCGGCCGCCATGAGCGCCGTGCCGCAGCTGATGGAGCGCAAGCGAGTCATCGACAAGCACGTCACCATCGGCGGCACGCTCCTCGAGGAGATCAAATCGCGCGCGCTCGACGCCTACTTCTCCATGGAGGAGGATCTGCTCACGCGCGGCAGCACGGACCGGGCGGCGATGCTCGACTTACTCAGGAAGAGGGGGTCCAAGGAGGATAAGCTGCGGCTGGCAATAATCTACCTGATGGCGACGGACAATGCGAGTGCGGGGGATGTGGAGGCGGTGGAAGCGGCGCTGAGGGAGCAGCAGGTGGATCTGGCCGCTCTGCATTACATCAAGCAGGTGAAGCGCGTCAACTCCAGCTTTGCTGCCGTGGCTGCCGCGGGGGGTGGGGCCGGAGGAGTGGGCGGCGTGGGCGGCAGCAAGGATGATCTGCTGGATTGGGCCGGGCGGCTCGCCGGGCAGGGTTTGTCACGAGTGACTGCTGGTGTGAAGAATCTTTTGGCTGGGGGCAGGCAGCTGCAGCTGACCCGGGCAGTTGAAGCTCTCATGGAAGGCCGGCCCGGGCAGGACACGGATTCTTTTCTCTGCCTCGACCCGAAAGCCCCCAAAGGGGGGAGCAGCAGCACAGCAGCAGGGGGTAGCAGGGGGGCGGTGCGGGACGCAATTGTCTTTGTGATTGGAGGGGGGAACTACATGGAGTATGGGGGTTTGCAGGAGATGGCGAGGAAAGCAGGGGCGGGGAGTGGGGCGGCAGGAGTGCGCACGGTGGTGTATGGGACGACTGAGATGCTGGCGGGGAGTCAGTTTGTGGAGCAGCTGTCGGAGCTGGGGAGGAAGATGGGGTACAAGGCCCCTCCCCCACCTGCGGAGTCTGTGGGGGGGGCAGCGGGTGGTGCGGGGGGTGCAGTTGGAGGCCATAGGTAGCCTTTTTTTACATATTTAGACTCGCTGTTTTACCTGTTAATGTGTACGGTATTCATTACATCTCTCACTCGGGTGCTCTTAGAATGCGTCACCTCTGCCAACGATCCTGCGATCAATCCTGCGCAGGATCGCTTATTGGTGGGGTTAGAAAAGGTCTTGCTGTCAAATTGCAAATATGCATGCTAGGCTATAGTGGGGCATCACTCGCCCTGCTTAGTCAACCATTCCCCTATCTCACTTTCTAACATGATATCATCGAGTAGGTTCGTTCCAGCCACCCTACGGCACTATGCGCTGCTGCCTTCGCTCGCGCCACTGCCCTACTGCCCGCTGCCGCTCGCTGGCCTACTGCCACGCCGCTGCTGCCGCTTCTACCCGCGCTGCCCCGCACACGCTGCCCGCGGTGCTGCACTGCCCCGCGCGCGCTGTCTTGCGCGCTGCGCCCGCGCCGCCGCCCGCATTGCCCCTCTGCGCTGCCGCCCACGCTGCCGCCCGTGCACCGCCCGCTGCTGCCAGCTGCCCTCTGCTGGCCCGCTGCCGCCCATGCGCCGCCCCGCGCTGCCGGCCTGCTGCAGCCCGCTGGCCACCCAGTGCCGCGCCGCCTGCAGCCGCGCTGCCCGCCGCCGCGCCGCCCTGCCTCCTGCCGCACCGTGCCGGCTTGCTGCGCCGCGCCACCCTGCCGAGCCGAGCCGCGCCGCGCCGCCCTGCATACCGTCGCGCCACGCCGCCCTTCCTATAGACGAGCCGCCCAGCTACTGCCGTACTGTACCCCGAGCCACCGCACGTGCATAGATCTGCAGCTAGTTCCTAGTGCTGCTACCTGACCTAGCTTCTGCTATGGCGACTTTCACCGTCCTTTGCGTTTGACGCAGAGGGGCGCCCTCTCGAGTTCGAGTCCTGGCTAGAGGACCTGGACCTGCACCTGCAGAGTGTCACTACGGACGACGTCTCCCTGTTCGAGCACACGTCGGGGTCCCTTAAGGCCTCCAAGACTCTAGCTGAGCATGCTGCTGACGCTGGGGAGGAGGTGCAGCAGCAGTACCGAGCTGACCCCATTGCCTGCACGCAGGGGGACGGCATGCGACGCCACTGCCCAGCTTGGTGTCCACGCTCACCTGTCGCTCGACCAGAGGGCCCACTTTCGCCAGGTGACGTCCGCCCAGGCTTTCTACGACGTTGTGGTTAGGCGCTACTCCTCCCCCTCTTTTGCCACCCTAAGTCGTCTTGCACTGTCGTTTCTCTTCTCCGAGTTGTCTGACTTTACCACTGTAGCTGCTCGCATGACCCATCTGCGCTCACTTGACTCCCGCTACCGTGCCGCCCTCACGCAGAGTTTCTGGCTGAGAACCAGCCCCCCATGTACCTCACCCTGTACTTCCTCACAACTCGCCTCCCTGACACCCTGCGTGCTGTTCGCGACCACTTCCTCTCCCTAGATCCTGCTAATCTCGACCTTGCCTCGTTCGAGACCAGTCTCCTCGAGGCTGAGACCAGTGCGTGCGCTATTGCTGCCTCCCGTGGCAACCCCAGGACCTCCTTTTTTAGGAGTGCGCTCCCTCCCTTCTCGCGTCCTTTGCTGCCTCTGCTACTGCTGTTGACCCTCCTCGGTGTCAAAGTTATATTTAAGATATATCCTGCTTGCTGTAGTTACTGTAGTTATTGTTCTTTGCTGTTGGTGGTGCACCTCTTGTTTGTGTTTCTCGACTATATCTTGTATGCTTTGCTCTAGTGAAGCTAACTTGTTTGGTCAATTTCTCTCGACACTCCCTTGGCCTTGACCTCGACACTAGCTTGGCCTAGGCTACTAAGCCTAGGCCCTCCTTAAACCCAGTTACCAACTACGATAGTGTTTTAACATGGTATTGAGCTAGGTCGTTCCCGACCTATTTTGTGAAAGGGCCCACCGTTAGTTATCGTGATGGCGCGTCCCGTCCTTCCCCGTCGCTCGCCCGTAGCAAAATCCGTCACGGTAGTCGTAACAGACGCGACGGTCGCGGCGGGAGTGATGGCGTTCGTCGACCCGCTGTTTCGCGCCGCTGCTCTTGCCCCCCGTCGGCCCCTCGAACCGCTGATGCCTTCCCCGTCGCCCTTCCCCGTCACGCTGCCTCGTCGCGGCTCACTGTCGCGGAAACGTCGACGGTCGCAGTGGGGGGGGGAGAGGAGAGGGGGAAAAGGGTGGCGACCGTCACTTGAGCACCACAGCCAGCCCGCGTTCCGTCCCGTCCCGTTCCGTCCCCGCCTGCCCTCCCGTCGACTTCGCAGCTAAAGTGAAGGGAGTGGCGGGAATGGCGGGCGTGGCGGGAGTGGCGGGAATGGCGGGCGTGGCGGGAGTGGCGGGAGAAGCTGCTGCTCCGCCACTGCATGCTACAGATCGTCCACGACCCGCAAGCCCGCCAGTAAACGAACCAGCAGACCCGCAGACCCACTAGCAAGTGAACCAGCGGACCCGCGAGCCCGCGAGCAAGCCCGTCAAGAGCGAGCACCAGGCACCAGCACCAGCGCCAGCACCAGGAACCAGTACCAGCACCAGCGCCAGCACCAGGAACCAGCACCAGCGCCAGCCGCCAGCACCAGGAACCAGCACCAGCGCCAGCCGCCAGCACCAGGAATCAGCACCAGCGTCAGCCGCCAGCACCAGGAACTAGCACCAGCGCCAGCCGCCAGCACCAGGAACCAGCACCAGCGCCAGCCGCCAGCACCAGGAACCAGCACCAGCGCCAGCCGCCAGCACCAGGAACCAGCACCACCGCCAGCACCAGGAACCAGCACCAGCGCCAGCCGCCAGCACCAGGAACCAGCACCAGCGCCAGCCGCCAGCACCAGCACCCCGCCAGCAGAGAACCCCGCCAGCAGAGAACCCTGCCAGCAGAGAACCCCGCCAGCAGAGAACCCTGCCAGCAGAGAACCCCGCCAGCAGAGAACCCCGCCAGCAGAGAACCCCGCCAGCAGAGAACCCCGCCAGCAGAGAACCCCGCCAGCAGAGAACCCCGCCAGCAGAGAACCCCGCCAGCAGAGAACCCCGCCAGCAGAGAACCCCGCCAGCAGAGAACCCCGCCAGCAGAGAACCCCGCCAGCAGAGAACCCCGCCAGCAGAGAACCCCGCGAGCAGAGCACCCCGCCAGCAGAGAACCCCGCCAGCAGAGAACCCCGCCAGCAGAGAACCCCGCCAGCAGAGAACCCCGCCAGCAGAGAACCCCGCCAGCAGAGCACCCCGCCAGCAGAGCACCACCCTCTGCCCTGCCTCTCCCCTCCCGCGGCTGCTACTGTGGGGGGTAGGTGGCAGGAACGGGGGGGTGGGGGGGCTGGCTGCCGTGTGAAGAACAGGGCAGAGACAACTGTGAGTGGGGCAGGGGTGTGGAGGAAGGAAGGGAGGCAGGGGGTGCGGTTCGAGGGGGCGGCTGAAATGGGGGGTGAGGTTGAAGGAGGGTGGTTGATTGGGGGTGGGGATGTGGGGGTTAGTAAGAGGGGACGCTGCGGCCACCCCCCCACCTCCTCTCCTCATCCCCCACTCAACCCCCCTTTCGTAAAAGGGGGTTAGTAAGAGGGGACGCCGCGGCCACCCCCCCACCTCCTCTCCTCATCCCTCACTCACCTCCTCCTGTGTTCTCATCTCCTCTCCTCTCCTCTCTCCCTCTCGCCGCCTCCCCTCACGTACCCCTCTGCCGTCTCCCACTGCGCCAGCTATACCCCTTCAGGGGGTGTTGACTACTCTAGTTCCTACTGCAAGCAGGCTAAGGGGGTGTGTCAAAGTTATATTTAAGATATATCGTGCTTGCTGTAGTTACTGTAGTTATTGTTCTTTGCTGTTGGTGGTGCACCTCTTGTTTGTGTTTCTCGACTATATCTTGTATGCTTTGCTCTAGTGAAGCTAACTTGTTTGGTCAATTTCTCTCGACACTCCTTTGGCCTTGACCTCGACACTAGCTTGGCCTAGGCTACTAAGCCTAGGCCCTCCTTAAACCCGGTTACCAGCTACGATAGTGTTTTAGCACTCGGTGCTGAGGAGGTCGGCGCTGTGTCCGCTCCTAGCGGGAGACACGGCGGCTGCGGTGGGCATAGGACGAGTTGGGATGGTGGGGGTGGTGGAGGTGACGGTGGCGGTGGGGGAGGTGGGGGTGGTGGGGGTCGCGAGGGTGGCGGAGGTGGTGGAGGGGGTGGGAGTGGTAGTCGTGGTGGAGCTAGCGGACGTGGTGGGGGTGGAGCAGCCGGTGAAGGAGGCAGCTCTGTGGTTGGGCAGCAGCAGGTATTGGCTGGGAGTGTAGGTGCTTGTGAGACTGCTAGCACATGTGCAGTTCCTGCGGAGGCGTTGCTTTCGATCACGCTGGACTCCGGCGCGACTCGGTGCTTCTTTCGCGACTGCACCACCATCACACCGCTCTCGGCACTTGTCCCTGTCAGTCTGGCCGACCCCACCTCTAGACCAGTTATTGCGCGCAGCTCTACTCTTCTCCCGTTTCCGGCAGTCCCCTCTGACTCCCTCACAGGTCTCCACCTCCCCTCGTTCGCTACAAACTTGGTGAGTACCGGTTACCTCCATGATAATTTGGTCACCACCACGATCCTTGGGGGTGAGCGAGTGATGATCTGTATGGACACAGAGACTGGAGACCACCCTGCAACATTCACACGGATGCCTGGGTCTGGACTATACACACTGCATACTGAGTCTGCACAGGCAGCTGCGTCATGTCAGGTAGCGTCGTCTTGCTCGTGTCGGTTGCTCACACACCAGTCCTTCTCTGGCACCATCGTCTTGGTCACCCCTCCCTGTCCCGCCTCCGTAGCATGCACTCACGTCGCCTAGTTTCTGGCCTCCCGCATTCGTTGCCCTCGCTCCGGCCTTCGCTTGCGCCGCCGTGCACTCCTTGTGTCGAGGGGTGGCAGCGCGCCGCTCCTCACTCCTCCTCGTTACTTCCGACCACTACTCCTCTGCGGACGATGCGCATGGACGTGTGGGGCCCCGGCCTCATCCATCGGCCGCGCTACTTTCTGCTGGTTGTCAACGATTTCACATGCTACACCACGGTATTTCCCTTGCAGCACAAGGGCGACGTCCGTGGTGTGTTGATCCCTTGGATCTGTGCTGTTCGTCTTTAGCAGAGAGTTCGATTTTTGGAGGACCTTCCGGTGCTTCGTTTGCACTCTGACCGTGGAGGTGAGTTTTCCTCTGATCTCCTTGAGGACTTTTGCTGGCTGGAGCTAGGTAATGGCGCTGGAGGTGCTGGTGCTGGAGCAGGAGGTACTGGCGTTGGCGGTGCTAGTGCCGGAGCTGGAGGTGCCGGAGCTGGAGGTGCCGGAGCTGGAGGTGCCGGAGCTGGAGGTGCTGGAGCTGGAGGTGCTGGAGCTGGAGGTGCTGACACTGGAGCTGGAGGTGCTGACTCTGAGGGTGTTGGTCGTACTAGCGCTGGAGGTGTTCCTGAGACTGGCGTTCCTGGCGTTCGCGCTGGAGGAGCTGGGTCTGGGGGTGCGTCGCAGCCGCCGCCACGGCGGCCGTTGCAGAGAGTCATACTCCTCCTTCACACTCTGCTTCCACTTTTCAGCATCGAGCCCGCTCAATGCCTCAGCTAGCGTCTTGGGCTCAGGGACGGCTGCCCAGTAGCAGTGTGCTATCTCTTCCTCATCACACTGCTCAGCCACACTCCCAGCCCTTACCACCTTTGGCTTGCCAAAGCTCGGATAGGTCAGCCGGTTAGGAGGGCGCACATCCCTCCTTGGACGGTCAGCCGGACGTGCGGCACCTTGTGGAGCATCTTGCTGCTGCTGCTGCGGCTGCTGCTGCTGCTGCTGCTGCTGCTCCTCCACCTCAGGTTCTCCCCCATCCTCAGTCACCCCAGAAATCTCCTCCTCTGAGACAGTGACCTGCACTTGCCTCGAAGGCCGCTGCACCTCATCAGCCTCAATGATCAGCGGTGTAGTAGGAAGCTTCTGCTGCTGCTGCTTCCACTCCTTATGGTACAAGGATTCAAGGAACTTCACATCCCTTGACACAGTCAGCTGCTGGCTGGTCAAGTCCCAAATCAGCCAGCCCTTGTGATCCTTAGCAAGCCCCAAGTGCACACCCCATCTCCCAGAAGCTTCCAGTTTTCCCCTCTTCTCCTTCGGCACATGAAACACCACCATGCAGCCGAAGGCTCTCAGCATGTTGACTGCTGGTGCACTCCCATACCACTTGGTGTAGGGGACCCACTGCTTGTCCCCCACAGTCGCCAGCACCCTGTTCTTCACAAGGGCGACCTGCCGCAGTGCAGTCACCCAAAACGGATCCGGCAGCCCTGCACGCCCAAGGAGAGTGCGAGCACCTTCCTGCAGGGTCCGGTTGAACCGCTCAGCCACGCCGTTCTGCTGAGGGTTGTAGGGCACTGTAAGCTGATGCTGGATCCCCTTCTTCTTCAGCACCATCTCAAAATCAGCGCCAATGAATTCTCTCCCGTTGTCAGTGCGGATCACCTTCACCTTGTGTCCACTCTCCCTTTGAGCTCTCGGCATCCACTCCTTAAGAACAGCCACTGCCACCTCCCCCTTAGTCTTCAGAGGGTAGACCCACACCGTACGCGTGTGGTCATCCACAATGGTCAGGAAGTAGCGGCTGCTCGAGAGAGAAAGGGCCCTCGTGGGGCCCACCACATCCATGTGCACAAGCGCAAGTGGAGCCTTGGCTGGTCCTGTGCTGCTGCTGAAGGGAAACTTTGTGAATTTGGTCTCAAGGCATGTAGGGCAGCTCCCAATCTCCTTTGCTGCCCCCTTCACCTCCAACCCCTTCAAGCTCCCATCCTTAACCAACTTCTGCAGCATAGGAAAATTCACATGACACAGCCTCTCGTGCCACGTCTCCCAATCGGCCTCACCACTCCCAGATGAAGCCTTTGCTCATGCAGCTGTCGCGTCCACACCAGCAAGCACCTCACCATGTGGCTGCTGTGGCTGTTGCACCTTCTTGACTGCATCCAGGGCCCCATCAGTTGGTGCAGTCTCCTCTCCTCCGGCAGTTGCTTTAGCCGTTGCCGCTGCCGCTGCCGTTGCTGGTGGTTTCCCATTCCAAGGAATGATGGGCAGCTGCCATAGGTCCTTGATGCAGCTGCTCTTCTCCTCCAAATCCCACAACAACAGCTTCCCAAGCTTCGCACGGCAGCTGGTTGGGCCGAAGGTCACTTTGGCCTTGCTTTTCTGCAGCCGGCGCACAGAGAGGGGGTTAGCGGACAAACCTTCTACCAGCAACACATTCCCCAGCCCCACAAGCTCCCCTTTGGCTCCCATCACCTTGGCATTCCCAACACCAATCACAGGGAGCAAAGCACCTGAAGCGGCAGCCACAAACTTTATCTTCCCAGGGGGTTTTACCTCGTCAAGCAAATCTGCCCGTGGGGTCATGTGACTTGTGCAACCTGAATCTATCACCCAGTGGGTGAGGGGGTGCATCACAACCTTCCCAACTGAACCCACATCACCCCCACTCCCTTGCACATCCGCAACCATGAGGAGCATCCCAGGGTCGGCTTTACCTTGTGCACCTGAACCTTGCACAGCGCCACCTCGTGCACGTTCACCACTTGGCGGCTTCATGCCTGGAGGCGCCCATCCTTCAGGCCGGCTGAAACACTTGAACCATGGGTGTCCAGCCTTCTTGCAGTACCAGCAAGCTCCCTCCATTCGGGTGCTCCCCCTGCCTCCAGAGCTCCCATGCCCCTCGTTGTAGTCACCTCGGCCTCTCCCTCTGCCAAAGCCTCTCCCACGGCCTCGGCCTCTCCCTCCCCCTCTTCCTCTGCTGCCTCCTGCAGCTCCATACCCCTCAGCAGTTTTGTTGGCAGCACCACCTCCCGTGTGGCGCCTGCGGAAGTCCTCCTGCAGGATCTGCTGCCGTAGCCACTCAGGCGTCCACTTGTCCTGCTGAACGTTGAGGGTGGGGATAAGGTTGTCCCACGAGTTGTCGAGCACCGAGACGATCTTGGTGCACTGCTGCATCTCCGATACCTTGCTGCCCGCCGCTGCCATCCTCGCATAGGTGTCCTTGACCTTGTCAAGCACCGGCTTCACATCGTCTCCCGGCCGCATGGAGAGGGCAGCCAGCTCCTTCTCCAATACGATCACCATCGGCAGCGTGTTGGGCTGAACCACGTCGCGTAGCAGCTTCCATGCCTTTGGTCCCGAGTCATCGAGCTCCACCAAATCCTTGATGTGCTGGAACATGTCGTTGTTGACCGACTGTAGAATCAAGTCGTACAGCACCGCGCTTTTCTCAATCCATCGATCGCGGGCATCCCCTTCCTCCGGCATCTTCTCTTCTCCCATTGCGAGTTTCAGCAGCTTATAGCGCTTGAAGGCGCTCCGCATCCGCCCGCTCCATTCCTCGTAGTTGGAGCCATCCAATGCCTCAATCTTGGATGGTGGCGGCTCACTCCTCTTCTCAGCTGCTTCTCCACTCCCTTGACTCATCTCCTCTACTCCCAATCACAGGTTCCAGCTCCCCCTTTGCTGTCCACACCGAAGTCCCACACAATTTCCACA